CAGTGATGCCGATTAGCACGACTGTGCCAATAGGCACAGTGATGCCGATTTGCACGACTGTGCCAATAGGCACAGCTGTGCCGATTGCTTGCACATTTTCATAGACTTAGAAAAAGAGCTCCTGCTTACCGACGCAACTTCACGTCCCCAAGTAAGAGTACAAGCACGGGTTGAGGCCAGGGCAGGCATCACAATAGTTTCAAGCTCGATTGGATATCGATTTTCCGCAATTCGCAAGGGTGGAGAAGCCCTACTAGACACCTGAACAAGAGAGGGATTCAAGCAAGGCAAACCACATTCAAGCAGAGATCGAGTGAGGAGCAGAGGAGTCATGAGTTTCGTTGCAAGAACTCGAGCGTTTCCTGTGTGAGCATACGCTAAACAGCGCTCCAAGACGGAAAGGATCTCAATTGCAATCTGATTCGGCCGTTGACTCTTCTCAAGATCAGGAGCAATATACTCCCATTGGCGTTGAAGCGCGGCGGTGATAGGATAACTGGTCCATGTATAAACAGATGGAAAGACCTGTGCACGCCGATTTGAGTATATGAAAATCAATTGGTGCTATGCACAATACCTTGGGGCGGAATACAAGAGTCGTGCGCAGTATCGGCTCGGCTACGTCTGGGTGAATGGTAGCTAACACCATGGGGTTAACGATCTTGTTATATATGAAGCTGAAATATGGCAATGATGAGGGGTGACTACTTCGTAAAACTGCCCAAACATACCGTCCATTGCGTACATCTTGAGGCATGTTGTCCAGATCTATCGTGAACACGTTCTCAACCCGCAAAGCTCTAGGACAGTCATCGTGCTGAATCTTGTCAGCAAACCGTTGATGTGGTAAATCATAGCGTTGGCGTTCAAGCAACCTGGATTGGGATAGTTTATCAGCCACCGACTTTGCCCATGCACCCGTGGCAGCTTGACTAAGTTCCCCAGTACAAGTATCTTGCTGGCCTGCTGTAGGACGGCTACGATGGGATATCTCGTTGTAGATTTGCGAAGCCTGCGGAATGATGATTGGCCCTGTGCCACCATGTCGCCGACGGGGATCGTCCATACGATCACTGTAGTCAGGGTCGTAGAAATCGTCGTCATCAGAGCTTGATTCATCTCCTCTGGGCGGCGGTATGTGAGCTCGGATGGAACGTTCCATATCCGAAATAAATGGATCATAAAGAGGCGACATGCTATCCGCCTGGAGATTGCCATATCTCATCAGAAGAGCTTGAGGGTATACCTGCACGCGAATCGACGCATCCTGTAAGTTGACGTCGGAGTCATCAGAATTATCTCCTTCAGAGAAGGGCGATCGTCTTCGCCGTCGGCGGTTTGGTCCATGGTTGAATAGCTCAGGAGCCAGAGAGAGATCAAGAAGAGGAGCGCAGGCAGGTTGGTTGCGAAACACGGCTCTTTGTCGTGGAACCAACAAGCCGTCCTGTGTATAGATAGGAAGGATGCGATCATTGTCATCATGAAGTGGATAATTGGGGAGGTCCAGGGGCTCGTCGTGGGGACTGACATCGTCGGTTGCAAAAACCTCACCGTGTCGACGCAGTATTTCCTGGTCAGGAATTGGCTCATATGATTCGACTTCGCGAGGTCTATGCGGGAAACAATTTGAATGCGCTATTATACCTCAGCAATGCAGAGCACGCACGATAAATGAGTGGCAATGGCCATACTGACGAAGCGAATCTTGGAGTAGTCCCTTTCCCGGTCCCAGATGCTCGCTTCATAAGCACTTTGACGGGGAACGCATATTGGTTGATTCTGCCCATATCGGCACGTAACAGAAATAGGAGAATGAGTACGAAAGAAAGGATCTTGACGATAGTGATTCGGTGCGGCAGCAACCCAGTCCCCCCACGTCTTAAACAGTTTGCTGATTTGTTTAAGCTGCTGCACATTCAAGTTGATGTGACCATGCTCCCTTCAAAATAAGAGTTAGCAACACAATCGCAATCATATCAGCATGATATCGCTGCCAAATGGCACAAGCGTGCCAGTCGGCAACACAATATGGGCAGTAACCAAAATCAATGAACGCGTGTACGCAATTACTCTGCCCAGCTCCACCCACGAGCATTGGGATTAGAAATGCAAAGGCGGCCGATTGGCATGGCGCTGCAGATCGGCAGACAATGTAGACCAAGACTACTCACAAAACATTTGTAGCCTCGCGCAACTCCCACTCAAAATCATTCCTAGGCCCATATGGAAAGGCAGGTTTGACGTAGATGTTGCCGTACTGTATTTCCTCTAGTAACGTTGCGAAGAATAGTAGAAAGGCCTTTGAACGCGAGGAGGTAAGGCGAGAGTCTTTTTTGGGAGCGTGGAAAGGAGCATCAGAATCGGGGTCCCCAGCAAGGGCACCGTTTGGAGCGAATGCGATCCAAACATCAGAGCTCAGCGTTGTGCCAATATACAGCATTCGCCCATCACTCTGGAAGCCTAACTCGCCATGCTTCGCTTTGAAGTTGCGATATCGCTGCTGCAAATCAACTTGCATCACGAACGTGTGATCCGTGGGGCAGTTCGGTATACATGCATCTAAACCGGTCTCACGAGACACACACATTAGAAAATCGACGAAATGGTCTTTCGCTTGCCATTCTAATTTTTGACGATCCTCTCCAACATAGACGAGGTCTTCACTGATATTAAGGGTAGCCTTGAATCGAAGGAGATCCATTGCCTTTGCGGCATCTTTCTCGGAGTTGCGCTCCGACATTTTCTGTAACTCTTTCAGCTCCACCGTCGAAGATGGCATATTGTTCCATACGCGCTCCAAGTCTTCATTGTCCCGTTCACGGGCGGCGACAGCGTAGATTACTTTGAGGACTTCCCCCTGATCCAGATAGTCATCGGTAGAAAGCCCAGAAGGCACTCCCTCCAGGGAAAATGATTCAGATGCTGCGGGCCTATAGAATTGGGCCAAATGAAGGCAAAATGATGATTAAAAACAAACTATGTCACTTACGCTGGCGGATTGTATTCGTCGATTCCCTCAGGTGAAATATGTTCTTCATGGGGGGACATGCGGTTATGTGGGTCTCGTAAAGTACAAACCGGTTCAAAGCGTGGAGAAAGGGCAAGTAGGCTGCTATGATCAGCAATGTGA